GGTGACATTGTTGAAGATGGGAGGTGCATGTAGAGAAGCATGTTAAATAAGGGCAATTTCATCCTTCCGTCTTCATACTATTTTCTGGTCAAAGAACATTGGTTCTTGAAATGATTTTAGATCCTTGTGCATAATACTGAACTTCTATCAAAATAATTTCCTGAACAATGTGAAATTTTTCTGATTATTTTACTTATCCAAACTAAAGCAAGCTAATAATTGAGATTCACTCAAATTGAGCTTAGCTCGAATAAGCCCAACTTATTTAAATTACTGACTTTACAAACTTGTTAGGGCGAGGGAGATATTTTGGCTTCAATTGCAGAGGCTTCTTATTTGTTGTTTAGGTATTTCTCTTTTATTAACAGGGGTAATTTGATCTTTTTCATAAAAACTTATTTTCATATATAAGTATCAAAGGAGCGTAGTGCAATATCAAAATCTTAATGTCCTCAGCTGATATAAAATTTTGCCAAGAATTCTTAGTTGATATTTTGCCTAATTTAATTTCAATTTGAAAGAGGGGTAGGAGAGTGAGTGAAGTTTGCCTTGTGTTGGATATTATAAAAATATAAAGGGTATTTCTTTTACCAGAGAAAAATTCATTTTATTTTTTTAATGTTGAAAAAAGTAGCACAAACAACCAATAGTGGAAGCCAAAAAACCACACAAAAGAGCCTAGCAATACAAGTTAACACACGAACTCACGCGCGCAAAACAAAACACAAAAAAAAAAAAAAAACAAAGCAGAACAATAGTATCAACCAATGCATTCTTTCTTCTTACGAGCCTTACTATTAATAGAGTTCAAATTACTATTGTATCAATCATCAAATCAGAAGATCAAACAAAGAAGGTGTAGCTTTTTTAAGCAATTCCAAAAGAAACATCATTCTATAACTCATCGTTGCCAACTAATTAGCAATTTCATTACCTTGGTGTGCCACCAAAGAGAAGTAGTGAACGTCCTGGTTTGATATATGAATGATAGAATATCTACCATAAGATCAAAACATTGCCAATCATTATCAACATTTAACATACTTGCCGTAGTAATGGGTATTTCAAAAAGAATTATTCTACATTAATAAAATTAATTACTATTTAAATCTTTTTTTTTGTAACTTATACATTAAACCTCATTATCATGTGAAACTATTTTTCAAGGTGTGGTTAAGGTGTCATTAGTCGGTGTTTTATTGCCAAATGTATATCATTGCCAATAAAAGGTAATACTTGTCGCGGGTTCCAGTATACACTGCCATTGACCTTTTAAACATTCTCATCTATCTCCTCCTCGTACTTGTGTCTCTTGAGTTTTATTTAATTTTTGTTGTTATGTGCTCTTGCTTATTATGCAGCAAGGGTTCATTTAATTATGGGGATCACTATCACATTTAACTGTGTGTAGTGAAATAATTCTTAAGGATAGTATTTTTGGACATGACTTGAATCATATTTTTTTTTTTTGTAATGCCATAAATTTTCACAAATTAATAGTTTAATAAATTATCTTAATAATTTTGAACTCTCATCATGGTAAAAAGAAGTTTTTTCCTATGATAAAAACTCTTCGCAAATAGTCTATAATGATAAAAAAGATTTATCATAGTAGAAAAATTTTAAAATAATAAATTTACTTTACCATGATAATTAAGAAAACAGTCATTATTAAATACTTCAAGTATACACCTCTATTATAATTTTAAAACCATAGTTAGGTGAACAACACTTTACAAACCATATTTTTACTGTATATACTTGACTTGGGCCCAATTATATTTTTTTAAACACTGATTACCACTCAAACAAAACTATCACATAGGGGTACATTTGATCAAAATTTTGCTTCACAAATACCTAGGTCATGAGGGATAGACATAATACTCTTAGCATATACAATGCAATAATTCATAAATAAAGACTAGCTACATGCTCAATAAATATCCTAAGTATGCATATTACACATCATTAATAAAAATAAAGAGGCCAAATTAGAAAATAGTGTCTGATACATTGAATTACGCCTCAAGTACTTCTTTAACCAAACTTGCTCCTGTAAAAATTAATAACCATAGAAAATGAGACTTAAAAGTTTCAGTAACCAAAATAAATATATAATAATGCACATGAGGTAGTTAATCATGTGATTTTTAAGTGGACAAATAAGACAATTATCCAAACAACTATTTCTAAACAATCTGAACAATTATTTAATTTGCATAACTATACTTTATATCCTTCTTGACAACATACTCGGATGCCAAGTCACCCAACTAAAGGTGAGTTGAACTAAACTACAAGCCACATATTGGATCTAATGAGGGTTTACCATATGGTAACTCAACCAAACAAAAATCTCTATCGAATAATTTTTAATATACTCTAACTAGTCATGCATTTAAAACAACCAAACAAAATTATTTGGCAGTGTTAATATCAACAAAATATTCATAAATACAAAATTTAACCCATTTGGCAATTATTTTTGATAATATATATATATATATATATATATTATTTTTAACAAAAATAAAAATTTTTCAAACAACAAAACAAGCACAATTAACCACATATATATACACAACTATACATTAATAATAGTTACTTTATATATTAGACAACACATTTCCCTTTACAACACCAATTCCTCCACTTACTTGGTCAACACAATTTACACAACCATTTAATAATATATATAGATATAATATTAATTTCATAATATTAAATATTAATTTCATACCAAAATTAATAAATAATTTTAATTTAAAGAGTTAGAAAGTTTAGGCCTAATACCTATATTAACACTAATTCAAAGTTAGTATCTCATTTAATTTTTCAAATTTCTTTTTAAAATTCTCATACCCCAATAAATGATATTTAAGTCTTAAATCACTCCTAATATCAAAATTCCATCAATTTATATTTCAAAAAATAAATTAAGAATTAAAAAATTATCTTCAAGTTTCAAAACACCATTCCATAGCCTTAGAAACATTTATTCATACTCAAATAAATATTTAATAATTAAAAATTCATCTCAACATCTTAGGTCCAACATAAATTCAAAAATATATATAAGTTTAGAGTTTAATTTAAAAATTCTCAAATTTAAGTTCCAACTTCAAAGAAATATTCTACAGTATTTATTATATTTCCAACAATCTCAACATCTATTTTAAAATAATTATAACTCCAGATTAACTATTTTATAAGAATTTTAATTAGAAAAGTTTTTCTATTGATCAAAATAATACTACCATTTGACAGTCCTAAATATGTAGAAAATATTTGTGAAAAGACTTTGGAGAAAGGGAGTTATTTTGAAAATCCAAATTACTTGAAAAGCTAAGAGCATACTTTAAAAAAATGGGCCAAGCAGGGAGAGAAAGAAGAGGAAGGCGCGCGCGCAGAGAGAGAGAGAGAGAGGTGCTATTTATAATCGGACGTGAGTCATATATTCATTTATTTTATTACCTGTTATTTAATATATATATATATATATATATAGCAAGCGGGACAAGTCACTAACCACTTTCGAGAAATTTTGATGGCTGAAAGTGGACTTTGACTTTCATTTCCTTTTTTATATATTGTTTATTATATGTATATATATTATTTATTTTTTAATTATATTTTAAACTAAACTAATAAACTTCTTTTATATAACTTTAAGTCTAAATTTAATTCATAATTAAATGTCTAAATATATAATTAACTCAAAATAATTTTAAATACAAATTTATTTTTTATTTTAAACTTCAAAACAATATGAATTTCATAATTTATTTATTATTTCAAAACAAAGATGTTACATTTTTAACCCAAGTTTCCAGAACCTTGCTCTGCAAAGCAGCTGAGCAATCTTAGTAAGATTTCCTCTTTAACACTTCATAGATTCACCCATATCTAGATCTAGCTCCCAAATAAAAAAAAAAAACTTGTATACTTAATCTTAAATATATACTTGACATGCTTGTTTTCAATTAAATTAAAACATGTGCATATTTTATATATTATTTATTCTATAACAAAATCTTGTTATTAACACTATTAAAATATTAAAATTCATTTTTTTTGATTTAATTTAGATAAAATTATATTAAATATATAAGATTAAGTATTTAAATCCCCCCAAATAATGGGAAGGATTCTCCTCTTCCTTCCCATCCTCTTCCTCTTCTCTTCTTAATTTTTAATTATTAGATGAAGATTTTGAGCAACCCAGATCTGATCTCCTTTAACATATTTTATTTTATTTTACTTTACTGAATTTTTAAATTATTCTTATCAAATTTTAGTAGTTTTAAATTTTATTATTTATATTCTTTATAATTTAATATTTTAATAATAAATATAAATTCAAAGAACCGCAATCAAGCGATTAAATTAACTATATCCTATAATTAAGACCAGAAGGCATGTGCGCGCGTGTGTGTATATGAAAATTTTTGTATAGACAGGTGCACAATTTTATTTATGATATATATATTCAATAAAAACATACAATATCAGTTGTCAGCTAGTTGTAAATATAAATTCATTCTGTTATCCATGATGATTGAGAGAAAAAAGGTAAGAAAAGAAATTTTAAAAATAATAATATATAATTTTTTTGATAGTATATAAAATTTTATTTAATTAAATTAATGCTAACATAACATGTTTTTATTGGACTTTGGACGAATCATGAATCACATCGTCCATATACTGGGCCTGAATTTCTCCATAAACATGTGCGCACGGCCTCATCGCCCGTCCTGCCTGTATATTAGGCCCAATCCTCCCCAATTCGACGAAGCGCGTGCCGGTTAGCGAGGCTAGCGAGTATGAAAGGCTCCATAGTCGAAAATGACAGATGACCAAATCAAATCATGGCGAACCAACAAAGCCTCCCCTGACATTGACTTGTGATTACAATATTAAAAATATAATTTTGGATCATTGGATGCCACTCGATTTTATTGCAATAGCAAAAGTGAAGGTGAAGCAGATAAGATTGTTGATTCCTTTAAGCTAAGCTATTGGTCGAAGATGTTACTCCTGCATTATTATTGATGGCTTCTTCTCCTTTATCTTCGCCACTTTGGACTCTGCAACAACGAAAGAGTGTGGCACTAGAACTGTGTATATATATAGCGGCGTCATTATCATGCATTCCAAGTTCTTCTGGATGCCCCTACACATGCATTTTCAGCTTCGGTGATTCACTTACTGATACCGGAAACTGGTATTTCAGCTCTCCACCGCCGCTGCTGCCGCGGCAGTCCAGCCGGTGTTTATTTCCTCCCTATGGCGAAACGTACTTCGGTCGCCCCACAGGAAGATGCTCCGGTGGTCGTCTTATCATTGATTTCATCGGTAGACCACAAGTTTAATTGCTAATAGAGACTAAGGAAACTTTTTTGAAATGAGGACCTTCGACGGCATAAATTGCTGAAGGTTAAATGACTTTAATGCTTTTGTTGATTTAAAAAAAAAAAAAATTAGAGCAAGGTCCTTTACTATTAATATTTCACACAAGGTCCTTCATAAGATTCTTTGTTGTCAATAATTTTATATGAATACTCAATGCAAGGTTATTTAATATCCATATGTCAAATAAGGTCTTTTGGTGGCAATTTATTGAGCTTTGAGGCATGTTTAAAGTATATGTGATTTTTCTTCTAATTATTCAAATATTATTTTTGCATATTCAAATATCCTTGTAAGAAACTCTTAAGGATACTTTTGAATGCATATGTAATGTTTCTTTTACGATATGCGATTGTTCTTTAACATATGCAATGTCTCTTTTATATATTCAAATATCACATTTGGATATTTTTATTCAAATATCCCTTGTTGAAATCCCTTATGGATACCTTTGCAAGCATATTTGATGTTTTTTTCTATAATATGTGACTACTCTTTAGCATATGAGATGTTTTTTTTCATATATTCAAATATTACTTTTGCATATTCAAATATCTTTTGTTAAAATCTCTTATGAACACTTTTGGATGCATATGTGATGTTTCTTCCATGATATGTGACTGCTCTTTAACAAAATATGATTTTGTTCCATATATTTGAATATTACAAGTACAAATTTAAATAAATGAAAGAAAAATTACATTATCTTAAGGGGTAGTTACGTATTGTAAAAAAAAAAAATTGCATGTGGTTGAATATACTTGCATATAGTCCTAAAACATGATACTAAGTGTAAAATTTTTAGAATAACTAAAATAATTATTCAAATTTTTAGAAATATTGAAGAAGGTGTAAATTTTGACAGCATATCTACCAATAATGTTCTACAGATATTGGAAATATTTAGAATCAATAAAGAATAAAAACCTCTCGTATTTTTCTTTCTTCTCATATGTACAAGTTGATTTGTCGATGATATGTAATAAATGATATGCAGGGTAGCCAAAAACTACATATATGCCGAGTGTTTAAAATTTTGAATCCACTAAACTTAAGTGAACTCATGCATCTTTGCATTTTTTTTTTACTTATTATTTAGTTTTTGGATTTGATTTGAGCTTATTAAACCTACGGTATTTTTATTTATCATTTTTATCTTCTTCTTCTTCTTCTTCTTCTTCAATTTTCTCTGTTTTTCTTTTTTTTTTATAATTAAGTTTCTCCTAAGTTCTGACTTTAATTAGTTGGATTTTATGCTACGCTTCCCTCTATCTCAAATCTCAAATCACAATTTTTATTTTCAAATTTTTATCATGTTCTTCACTTTTTACTTTATTTATTTTTATCTCAAATTTCACTTTTTATCCTATTGTCTATGTAAAGATTCTATCGATAAGTAATTTATAAGTATTTTTATAAGTGATTTGAAATTAGAAGTGCACATACCCTAACCTTGGCAGATTATGAGACCCAACTTATCTAAAACATTATAAAAAACACTATAATGCTTTTTTTTTTTTAAATTCTTACATAAAATTGTTCTTGATATGCAGCTGAGTCATTAAACATTCCATTAATGAAACCATACCAAGGAATTAAGAATGGTCAAATAATAAATTGGAAGAAAGAGGAGGGAGTGAATTTTGCAGTTGCTGGAGCAACTGCGTTGAATGTAAGTTTCTTTGAAGAGAGAGCTATTTATACTGTGATCACCAATTATTCTCTCAGAGTTCAATTGGGTTGGTTCATGGAATTGCTTCCTTCAATCTGCAATTCTTCATCAAGTAAGTTCCTTGTTATTCTTTTCCAAACACATTATGGGTAATGTTTTGCGTGTATTATTTTTTTTCATTTATTTGTTGAACCCTGTTTATTAATTTCCCACGAATTTCCTTTTTCATGGGTGCATCATTTAAATTTCATTCAATTAAATTTTCCAACCTTTTTTTTTTTGCATGTTTTGATTTTCTCAACTATCATGCCAATTACCAAATACTTATGCCCAATTTTACTAATGTTTATTTTTCTTTTTCTAGCTCTTTTCCGGTGGTCCTGTAATAGTGTAATGTGCTAAGTTGTGGGACCATTATGCAAGATGGTTCCTTTTCTTTTCTTGTTGCTTATCTCTTTATTTTAATTAATATATATAAATAAATCTTTACTTCAAAAGAATCCAGCATACCAAATATAAAAGGGATTTAGGCATATTATAATATAATAGAAGATTGAGAAGAACACAATCAAGAACTTCTACAGAAATCCTTTTTTTATATACAAATTAAAATTGACTTTTTACACAAGTTTTATAACTGGTGTAGAATCTACCAGTGTGGAAAGTGCACACTATTTACACCAGACACTTGAGTGGTATAAAAAATTACTTTTCACACTAGATATAAAGCTGGTATAAAAAAGTGAACACAACCACAGCGTAATTTCAATTTATTTTATTTTAAAAAAAATTGCACTTGTCCACACCGATTATGGTCACAAGCAGTGTGGAAAGTGTTTTTTTTTTAAGATTAATTTATTTTTCTATCCAACCTTCTTGTATACATAAGACACACTTAGAAGTAAAGTGAACACTTACAAATATAATTAAAATCAAATATCTACAAAACTAATAAAGTAGCTTATCACAAGAAAATTGAACTAATTAACTCAGTTTATTTTACAATTAATGTGCTCATGTTAAAACACAATAACATAAAAAAAAAAAATGAACTCACAAGTTTGTGATCTCTAAAAAGTAGCTTGCCCAATATAACTGAATGCCTCTTAATTGCTACACCGGTTAAGTAAAATAAGATATCTGGTGTAAAAAATATTAAGTTTTTTCAATTTTTTAAAATCTGATCATTTTTGACATCGGGTGTAGAATGCTTTTCCACACTGGTTATAAAGGGAACTGGTGTGAAAATAATTAAAAAAAAAAATCTTTTCACACTGAGTACATGTAGAACCAATGTAAAGAAATAGTAATTTTTTTTAGAAAAAATTATAGTCACTTTTTACCCCGGATATGAAGACAAGGGAAGTTGTGTGGAAAAGTCAATCAATTCATTTATTTACCAAAATACCATCTTCTGGCTCTTCTTTCTATGCCTGTTTGTTACAGGTATAAAAAATATAAATGTAGAAACGTTTTTGTGTGGGAGTAAACACGCACACACACATCCATAACGTTTTATCTTTGCAGGCTGCAAGAAAATGTTTGAAAAATCCCTATTTTTTGTGGGAGAAATTGGAGGCAATGACTTTAATAAGCCTTTTGCCCTGCGAAGGAGTTTAGCAGAGATCAAAACTTACGTGCCTCACGTGATCAATGCAATCTCCTCAACAATGAGAGTAAGAATTTTGAAATGCAATAGCAATCATTTCAGCTAACAATATATATATATATACACGAATTTGAATTTACTAACTGTATTTAGTATAGACATATTGGGTGCTTGTATCATCTAAATTGTTGAAATTTAAATCAATGTTTATAAATTCTATTTCACCAGATATTAATGAGTAATTAAGTTTATCTAAATCGTTGACACAAATTTCAATGGCTCAGATGATATAAGCATTCTGTGTTTATAATTATCAAATCCAAATCTTATATATACACGTGTGTATTATATATATATCTTAATCCCTTTCATGGATATTGTAGGATTTGATAGGTGTAGGGGCTCAAATGCTCATTGTTCCTGGGAATATACCAATGGGATGCAGCCCATTTTATTTAACGAATTATGCGAGCAACAATAAGAAGGACTATGATGAAGATGGTTGCTTGAAATGGGTAAACAAGTTTGTTGAATACTACAATAAGAGGCTTCAAGCTGAATTAAATCAGCTTCAAGAGCTTTATCCTCATGCCAATATCATATATGCTGATTATTACAATGCTACATTGCCACTGTATCATTCTCCCAAAGAATTTGGTACTATTTATATCCCTCTGAACTACTCTTCCACTTATTTCTTGCTTGTCTGAGATATATTATAATCATGACAGGCCTATTTGATTTCCTATTTTTAAAATAATTTTTTGGTTTTAAAAATAAAAAACATAAAGCTGTTTGAAAATATCCTATTATAGTTTTTGATTTGGAAAAAGCAAAAAAAATTGTTTAATTTGAAAATGAGTTTTTTTATCTGTTTCCAAATAAAAAAAATTAAAAGTTATTATGATCACCATAACATATTTGTGATGTTTTTTTATTTTTAGTAGTTCTACAAAATTAAATAAAAGACAGAAAACATTATGCTTTTATTTATGACAATTATATTTAATTTATAAAGTAAATAATTCTTTCACCTTTTAATTTTATCACTATAGATACGTTTTTTAGAATAATAATTCAAACAGATCTTTCTCATTTTTTATTTTCAAAAATTGTTCTAAAATAATTATGTTAAGAATGTAAAAAAATAGATAACAGAATCAAACAAAGTCCAAACATGATTTTAAATTCTAGAAACCGATGCTATTATTTCTATTCTGATACGTGTTAATTTACTGAAATAAATTACAGGTTTTACAGGTCTCAAATCTTGTTGTGGGGCTGGAGGGGCATACAACTACAATATTTCAAAAAGATGTGGAGATGAAGGAGTGAATGTTTGTGATGATCCTTCAAAGTACATAACTTGGGATGGTATTCATTTGACAGAAGCTGCGTATAAATTGATTGCAAGATTTTTACTCAAAGGATCCTATATTGCTCCTAAATTTGATGACTTGTGCTTCAAGAATAATAAAGCCTTTGAAAGTTTTATTAGTCTTTGAGATTAGGGATTTGCTGTGTGACCCTTCCCCATAGAGAAATTAAAGGCGACTCTCTCACACACACTACTCCCTTTGTTTCTATATACTATTTTCATTTTTATATATAAGGTGTTTTTTAGAATTTTATTTTATCTATAAATATAAGGAGTGTTGTGATATTTTTAAGTAATTAGATAATTTTGCTCTTGTCTTTAAACAATGAAAAGAGAGATCAATTGTATACTTTACCCACTACCATCATGATATTAATTGACTTTCTTATAGGTAAAATTGAAAAATTACTGCAATTTAATGTGATTTAACTAAATAATAAACTTGTGTTGATATACGAGATTCAATTAAAAGCACCTCATATATATAGGAATGAAGAGAGTAAAAGAAAAAATTATACTACACAATTTAAGAAAATTGATTAACTACAATAATTGTGTCTCAGAATAAAGAAATTAGATTAAAATACCTTATGTTAATTAACACATATGAGCATGTATTAATTTTTTTTCGTTAATATAAATTGTTAGAGGTAATTTAAGAAATCTATAATAAATGCTTTTTGAGATTTGTGATTTTGTTTATAAAAAAATTAATCAAAAGTGACAATTTTTCTAATAAATAAAAACAGATAAGAGTATTTTTCCAATTCCTATATTACTTGGGGAGTGGATCCCTCCCAGTTATTTATTTCACTATTAATTCGGGTGGATGTAATATATATTTTACTCAACAAATTAAAAATTGAAATATCTCATTAGTTGTAATGATGCCCATCCATGATCCGACAACATACCGTGGAGGTTTACATATTTTTAATAATTAATAATTAATCACAGTCATTTAGGTATATGTGTGGGCCAAGAAAAAGACGAAACAAATTTATTCAATCATTTCATCTTTATATATAAAAAAATTTTTAAATCTCTTTTTATTCTTAAATATGAAAAGTTATGAGCATATTTTTAATAAATATATCATTATATACTCTTATTATATTGAAAAGGAAAAAAATAAATATTACTTATAAATTTACTTTGAAAAAAAGATTTATTTTTTATAATAATTAGAGACAAAATTAGAATATTACTGTACGTTTAAGTAAATAATTATTTTTTATTAATTTGCATGATTCAGTTAAAAATATCTTATATATAAAGATGAAGGGAGTAATTACTAACATTTAAATGGAATATTTAAAAGGTGAGGGTGCTTCTTGAGGAGAAATTATATAAATCTAATGCATCATATTATTTGCAAATTATCCAATAAAATTGTACCATTTTAATTAAATAAAATTTTTTCTAACAAAAAAATTAAATAAAATCTTACATATTATTATTTCTAATGATTTTATTTTTAGAATAGGATGTCTTTTTAATTTCTTTTTTTCCCTCTATTTATCATTATCAATACATAATCAATTTACATAATTAGAACCACGTGATATGACATTCTTTTATTAAATGATATGATATATGGGTCTGTGCAAGAATTTTTTTAGAAATAAATGGTATAATGTTCGCTTATTAATAGCAGGCTTCTTTGAAAGTAGAATGAATTTCATAATTGCATTTCATTTTTATAATTTTCAAAAGTAAAAAGAGAGAATGACATTTTAAGGCCCTCTCAAATTTATTATAACAAGAATTTATCACTTTTATATAAGATATTGTCTTGTAAAAATACGTATATATTTTTGTTAATAGTTAAACCTTAACTTATATTTTTTTTGTCAATGTTTTCATAGAAATTTAATAAGTTAATATTTAACTTTTAACAATATATGCGTATTTTTATAAGATAGTATCTGATACAAAACTAATAAACTTTTATTGTAATAAATTCTCTTGAGAGAATTTTCAATTTTATTATCTCAAATAAAAATTCTTACGTATCTAGTAGAGAGAGCAGACAGCTGTTGATTTGCAATTATGTTTTAAAATGCATGGGGATTTGATAATTTAAATTTCAATGAGTCTCCCTTAAAAAGTGACAAATTTTGAATGAACTCGATATATCACGTCATTCATAATTAATTTAATAAAATTATACTAATTTAATAAAATAAATTTTATATATCATTATTTTTAATAATTTTATTTTTATAATGAAATGTTTATTATCATTAATGTTAGAATTAATTTATATTTAAATGTTATTTGTATGCTATATTTTTATTAGATAAATTATGAATAATATAGTGCAAAAGGTCTTCTAAGAATTTCTCAAATGAAAAGATCAACTATTGTATTCTTATTTCTCCCTTGATTTGTAACCGTGGGCACGGTATCATGTAAACCAAGCCTTTTTTCTTTTTTTCACATATTAAAAGTCACATGTCAGCTAACAAACTTTGATTAATTGCGCATTAAAAAACTATTTAGTTGTTCAATCATTTGAGAATTCTTTAATCATGAAGGAATATATTTTTCTTCAAAAGATTGTAATCAGATATTGCAATGAAAACAATTATAAAGAGATGATTAAAAATGAAATAATAATTTTGCATAAGACGCACGAGTCCAATGCTAGGTAGTGATAATAAATTCAAGGGAAAATGACATTTAAAGAACTTTAAAAAATATTAATTATAATTAAAGACTCTAAAATTATAAAATTTTATTAAAAGGCTATGGTTCTTAGTTGGGATTGATTTCTTTTAGCACCCATCTTTTATATTTTCAATAGTCATTTTTAGAATTTTAAGTACTTAGTTCTTTTATATTATTTTCAATAATTATCTTAGATGTTTTAAATACTCATTTTCCATGGTTTCGATACTCAAAAAATTAAAGATAAATGTTTTTTAGTTAAAAATATGGAAGATAAGTATTCAAAATATTTAAAATGACTACTGAAAATTTAAAAAATTAGTAGTAAAAAGTTTAAAAATGAATATTGAAAATGAGTATTAAAAATATAGACGAGCCATTACAAAAAATTAACTTTGAAAAATTTTAATTCCAGTTAAGGACTACCGTCATTTTTTTAAGTAAATAAAGGCTTGTTTGTTTTCCACTTTTAAAAATTATTTTTTTAAAAATAAAAAATAAAAAAATGTTTGAATAAATGTTTTTCATTTAGTTGTTTCTAAAAAAATTTCATTTTTTGTTTCAAAAAATAAAAAAATAGAAACAATTTTAAATTGTTTTTATTTTATTTTTCTTATTTTTAAAATATATTATATTTGATTATTAAAAATTATAGCTACCCTGACCAATTTTTATTATTAATCACCACTATTTAACTGCTTATAACCATTACTATTGGTCTATTTTTTTAATTCTAAAACTATTTTTTAATTGACATAATCAAATGAATTTTCATTTTATTTTAGAAAAATTTTAAAAATAACATTACAAAACAGTTTTTTAAAATAAAAAATGAGAACATAAACTAGACAAGCTCTAATATTCTTAAAATATTCTTAAAATCATCCTCCTATTTATTAATTGAAGAATCATAGTGGAAGGACAATCAAAATAAATAAATAAAGTGAAGCAGAACTGCCGATTGATTCCTTTTATATATCTGTTTTTGATCCAAGTGGTCATCATTCCCACATTTTCAATGGCTTCTTCTCCTTCATCTTCTCCATTTTGGACTCTGCAACAACAATGTACTCTAGCATCAATAGTTTTACATATAGGGACAGTATTATTATTGATTCCGAGTTCCAGAGGAAGCCCCTACACATCCATCTTCAGCTTCGGCGACTCAGTTACTGATACCGGAAACTTGTATTTCAGCTCCCCACCACCACCACCACCGAACCGGCGCTCTTTCTTTCCACCCTACGGTGAAACCTACTTCGGTTGCCCCACCGGAAGATGCTCCGATGGCCGCCTTATTATTGATTTCATCGGTAACACTAAGATTTTGGACTTGATCGAAATTTTAATCTTTTAACCATATTCCTTGCACTTCTGACTCTGAGATTTCAAATATTGTCTATTTCCAATTTTTTTAATGATCTATTTCCAATTTTTCTTAAGAAAGAATGACAGATAGATCTTAAAGGGACCAATTAATTCAACTTAAGTTTCAAGTGTTAAATTTCAAAAACTTACAAATTTGCAATTTTGTTGTGATGAATTTATAATTTGTGTTTCAAATTTTAATAGCAAAAACAAATTTTATTCTTTAACCATGTTAAAATTTAAAAAATAAGTTGCAAATTCATCCCAATGATATTGTAAAATTGAAAACCGAACTTATAAATTATTGGAGTTTGATACTTAAGACTTAAGTTAAATTAAAAGGTCTTTTTAAGACCTCTCTATCATTCTTCCTTTTTCTTTACCTGTAAATATAATTTTTTTGGGCTAATACCTGTAAATTAATTAATAATTATGCTTAGGCTTTCTGGTCCGATTTTATCGAGTTTCCCTTAAATACATACATACATACATGCATATATATATATATATATATATATATGTCCACGAGTTCTAGTGTCTTTCTCTTCTATTATTTGAAGTAGGTATAAATTTTTTCACAGATTATCGAGCTACCTAACTTGCTCTGCGTATCAGTTGTATTTGTCAATCAGTTTATTGGAGGGAGAATGAGTTTAGATCCCAAAAAGTTGAATCAATAACAGCTTGGTCCCCAATAAAATTTTGGGAGAATCACATCCAATCACCACTAAATAAAATTATTCACGAAGAAGTATCAATACAAACTGAATTGTTGTTAAAATGAGAATGTAACTTTTTTTTTTTCCTTAAATGGGACATGTTGTTAGTCATTGTTTGTGAATAATTTCTTTGAATGGTTCTTAAATGTGATTCTCCATAAATTTTTTTGAAAAATGAGTTGTAAATACCGATTCAAATAGTTACAAAAAAAAATACCTCTTAAATAAAAATTATATTTGATATTTAAATACTTATTTCCAATTAACACTCTTAAATTTGCAATTATCTAGATATTTATTTCCATTTCTTTTATAATTTTTTTTTGAAAAACTTAACTGTTATTAATTTAATATTTTAGAACCTAACTGTTATCCTCCCTTGTATTGGAAGCAATTGGAAACATATCTTCATATCCAATTTTATAAGTCCATCTAATTATTCCTTTGATTTAATGTTCATATCTTTATTATTATTATTATTATCAAAATTAAATGGTTTTGAAACAAAATCATAATACTTTTTTATATTAGTAAATAAATGAATAATATATTTAGCGTAATGCTTCAATTAACAATCTTATACCGGCAACAAAATGATTAAATAATTAAATGGAGGGATAAGATTGGGCTTAGACAGAGATACTGAGAGAGAATCTAAACCTGTTTGCGCCTAATTGACAGTGTTAAATTGCTCTTTTGATGTACTGTTCAGCTGAGTCGTTGAGCATTCCATTAGTCAAACCATATCAGGGAATTAAGAATGGTCAAATAAGAGATTGGAAGAAAGAGGAGGGAGTGAATTTTGCAGTTGCTGGAGCAACTTCGTCGAATACAAGTTTCTTTGAAGAGAGAGGCATTCATACTGGTTATAACAATGATTCTCTCAGAGTTCAATTGGGTTGGTTCAAGGACTTTTTGCCTTCTATTTGCAATTCTTCCTCAAGTAAGTTCCTATTTATGCTCATCTTGATATTGATCACGTTACGTGCGTGTATTATATTTCTTCATTTACTTGTTGAAGAGCCATGTTTCACACACCAAGAACTTTCATTCACATATGTATAAAGCATGGAATACCCATAGGCCTAACCACAATCCCCATATAACGTGGATAACACAATCTATACACACACACATGCATAGGACTCAACCTATCACTACTATAAAATACATATTATGGAGCAAGTTTTTAGGAACGCTTAATTTAAAATCGCTATGATAAGTTGAGTCGAAATGTACTAGAGCATTTTTTTTAAACAAATGCTCTTGTACGTTAGCCCTTACGAAGCACTCCTAAATAATACAATTAAAAAAATTTAAAAAAATTAAAGCCTAAGGGCTCTAGCAGGCCTCTTTCAAAGCACTCCGGAAGTGTGGTCCTTCCCGAGTGCTCTATGGGACCCACCTTACAAAACAAACAGAAATTTACTGCTCTTAACAGTTCAAGGAAAATTGTATTCATTAACACGAGTTAATAAGTATTTTTGCACCTTTATTTACTTAATGATACCCGTTGCCTATGAAGAAAAATTTGATATGTATTTTTACCTTTTAAGCTATAAAACTATATGGACTATAAACAAAATACAGGGACCAACTATTACATTTTTCCCAAAAATATATGCAAATTATAATATAATAGAAGGTTTAATTATTTGCGTCAGATTACCCATGATATTTCACACGAACACTATATATACACACACACGAACACTATATATATATATATATGAGACCTACAATTAATGTTTTTTTCTTGCAGGCTGCAAGAAAATGTTTCAGAAGTCACTATTTCTGGTGGGAGAAATTGGAGTCAATGACTTTAATGGACCGTTTTCTTTTCGAAGGAGCGTAGCAGAGATCAAAAGTTACGTGCCTCATGTGATTAATGAAATCTCCTTAACAATAAGTGTAAGATTTTTGAACAGCTAGATAGGCAACAAGAATCTTAATAATTTTCATGAAGGATCTCAGTGGTTGTATTGTTTTTTGGCCGCAGGAATTGATAGATGTAGGGGCTCAAACGCTCATCGTTCCTGGAATTTTACCAATAGGATGCAGTCCGGTCTATTTAACATTTTATGAGAGCAACAATAAGAAGGACTATGATGAAGCTGGTTGCTTGAAATGGTTAAACGAGTTTGTTGAATACTACAATAAGAGGCTTCAGGCTGAATTAAATCAGCTTCAAGAGCTTCATCCTCATGCCAATATCATATATGCTGATTATTATAATGCTGCTTTGCCACTGTTTCATTCTCCCCCAAAATTTGGTAATATTCATCCTTCTCAATACTATTTTTCTTGACAATATGAGAAATTTGACCGTAGTCTACATTAAAATAACTCTATTTTATTGGATGATGTATGGTTTATATGAATGTTTCATTTAATTATTTATTAATGCATTTTTAGTAAAGTATTACTGTTTTCAGGGTTATATAAGTATATATTTTTGTATATTTTATTCAAATTTTATTGTTTTAATCATGAATGGGGTGGCTCCTGTTCAACCATGGTGGAACCATTACCTCAACTAATTCAATAACCAATCTGATTTGATTTTCAATATGTTATATTTGAGGTCTAAAGTAGGATTGCCATTATAGGATTCTGATTTGTGTTAATGTTATGAAAAAATAAATTACAGGCTTCACGGGTCTCAAAGCTTGTTGCGGAGCTGGAGGCGCCTACAATTACAATTTTTTAAAAAGATGTGGAGATGAAGGAGTAAATGCTTGTGATGATCCTTCAAAGCACATAACCTGGGATGGTATTCATTTGACAGAAGCTGCGTATAAATTGATTACAAGATTTTTATTAAAAGGGTCCTACTCTGCTCTTAAATTTGATGACCTGTTCATGAAGAGTAAGGCCTTTGAAAGTCATCTTAACAGCGCTTGAGGTTAGGGATCAGCTGTGTTCATGTTTTAATGAGATTAATTTATTTCGAAGGTAAAGTCAATCACTACAAAAAAAAAAATGACTTTCAGCGGCGACACTAAAAGTTGCCGTTGAAAGTGTGACTTTCAGCGGCAACAAGATATAGTCGCCGTTGATTGTTAGACTTTCAGCGGCAACTGTCGCCGCTGAAAGTTGAGAATTAGCGGCGACTTTTTAGTGTCGCTGCTGAAAGTTGAGAATCAGCGGCGACTTTTTAGTGTCACTGTTGATTGGCAGCATTTTTTTATTTATTTTAAAAAAATTATGTTGCAAGTTTCAGCGGCGACATACAAGTCGCCGCTGAAAGTTGAGAATCAGCGGCGACTTTTTAGTGCCGCCACTGAAAGTGGACTTTCAACGGCAACTTTTTAGTGTCGCTACTGATTATCAGCATTTTTTATTTCTTTTAAAAAAATTATGTTGCAAGTTTCAGCGGCAACTTTCAGGTCGCCACTGAAAGTGGACTTTCAGCGGTGACTTTTTAGTGCCGTCGTTGATTGCCAGCATTTTTAATTCTTTTAAAAAAATTATGTTGCAAGCTTCAGCGGTGACATAAAAGTCGCCGCTGAAAGTTGAGAATCAGCGGTGACTTTTTAGTGTCGCCGCTGATTGTCAGCATTTTTTTAATTCTTTTTAAAAAATTATGTTGCAAGCTTTAGCGGCGACTACTTTCAGTGGTGACTTTAAAAAGTCACCGCTGATTGTCAGCATTTTTTTGTGTTTTTAAAATTAGATTAAAGTATTTTTCATAGGAAAAAATATATTTTTGTTTTATCAATTTCATGATCTTTTTATTTAAATTTTAATTTATTTTCATTTCCATTTATTTAACCAAGTTGTATGTATGTATGCATGTATGCATAGATACACATACATATGTTGTAATATTACAAGTGGAGAGAGGTTTATATTAAGAGATAGAGAAGGGGCCATTTAACTCAATGCCTGCAAAATTAAAAGTCTTCTAATTTTATAGAAGTTTAGAAAAATCATGGTTAAATTAGCTCTTTTGATTTGCTTCACTTAATTACCTTTTTTTTTGCTTAAATTATTTTTTGACAAGATTCAACTCTTATTTTTCTTTTGCTTTTTCTTTTTCTTCTTTTGTCATATTTGTTTTTCACCCGTGATTTCTTATGTCTTTTTCTATTTCAAAAAGAATTTAGATATTCTGCACAAATATCTCTTTCAAATTTTTCTCTTATTTAATTTATTCTATTTTCTATTTTTGATATTTCTATTTTTTCTTCAATTCTTTTATAATATATTTCTTTATTTCTACCTCTTTTACTTTTCTTTCAGGTTCACTATTCCTATTTGGCTATAGACTAAGACTCTTAAGACTTATCTTATTCTTCTCTTTTGACTTAGATCCTAATATCTTATCGAACCATCTCATATTTCTATTTCTACAAGTTTTATTTTCTATTGATATTGTTCTTCCTTGGCTTTTAGGAACACTACTACCTAACTTTCCTATTCTTTCACAGGATTTTTGAATATTATATTTCTTGAATATTCTCTATTTGTTACTAAACTTACTTGGCAATATCATTTTTTTTATAAGTTATATGTGATATTATGTTCATGTATCTTTGTTGATTTATTTCAAAAGGGGTGTTATCTATTTCATTTTCTATATTTTCTTCTGCTTTTATTTTACTAGTTATAATGAAGAACAATAAATTCTATTGTTTTAACATATGGACAAATAATTGATATTATAAAACCTTTAGAAAAGATAATTTTAAAAAATATAAAATAGAAATAGTTTGTTATAAATGTGAAAGATTTGGCCATTTTTATAATTTTTTTAAAAAAATTATGTTGCAAACTTTTAGCGGCGACTTTTATGTGTCGCCGCTGATTGTCAGCATTTTTTATTTCTTTTAAAAAAATTATGTTGTAAGCTTCAGCGGTGACTTTTTAGTGTCGCCACTGATTGTCAGCATTTTTTAATTCTTTTAAAAAAATTATGTTGCAAGTTTCAGCGGCGACTTTCGGCGACCTGAAAGTCGCCGCTAGAAGTGGACTTTCAGCGGCGACTTTTTAATGTCGCCGCTGATTGTCTACATTTTTATAATTTTTTTACTAATGTATAATCATCAGTATTTTTACTATTTATTCTTAGATATTTTTATATTATAATTATAAATATGAATATTAAAATAAATAATATAACAACCTCAAGAAGTAAAAAAAATTAAAATAAATAATACAAATTATATTGTATCAATTATATTTATAGTTTACTTTAAAAAAATAAATAATATAATTTATAATTTTATAAATTGAAAGAATGAATTGAAGTATTTAAGGATAGTAATGATATTTTATAATATTTAATATTTAATATATATGTGTGTTTGTATAGTTTAATAATATGTGTATATATATATATATATATATAATTATGCAATAATAGACTACAGATTCATTCCAGCTCAGTGGCAAAATGGTTGGACACAAAAGGAGGAGGTCACAGGTTCAAACCTTGGAGGAGACAACTTTCCAAATGGAAATATAAATTGATGACATGATGACACGTGGCGTGTGGTGAGAACGACACATAGAGAGTGACATGGGGCCACGTGGTGTGAGGTGAGGGGCGACACATGGAGGATGACATGGCATCACGTGGTGCGAGGTGGGCCCCTATGTAGAGGGTGACATGGCGCCACGTGGTGTGTGGTGAGAGCGACACATGAAGAGTGACATGATGCCACAAGGCATAAGGTAAGGGCGACACGTGGAGGATGACATGGTGACACGTGGTGCGAGGTGGGGCCTTACGTGGAGGTGACATGGCACCACGTGGCGTGAGGTGGGGCACCACATAGACGATGATGTGGTGCCATGTGTGTAAGTGAACCAATATTACTTTTCAGCGACAACTTTTTGGTAGCTTTAGCGGCGACAAGATATAGTCGCCACTGATTGTTAGACTTTCAGTGGTGACTTTTACTGTCGCTGCTGAAAGTTGAGAATCAGCAATGACTTTTTAGTGTCGCCGCTGGTTGTCAGCATTTTTTTATTTGTTTTTTAAAAAATTATGTTGCAAGCTTCAGCGGCGACAGAAATAGTCACCGTTGATACGTGGTTTCTACGGCAACAATTGTCGCCGCTGATTCTCAACTTTTAGCAGCGAATTTTATTATCGCCGCAGATTGAATAAGTAACAAGAGCTTTTACGGCGACATTGTGGTGAATTTTTTTCGCCGCTAAAAACTTTTAGTGGCGACTTTTTGACTTTCGACGGCGACAAATGTCATCGCAGATTCTCAACTTTCAGTGGCAACTTTTTTTATCGCCACAGATTGAATTAGCGATAGAAGCTTTCGCGGCGACATTATGGCGACTTTTTGTCACCGCTAAAAACTTTCAGCGGTGACTTTTTGACTTTGAGCGGCGACAAATGTCGCTGCTGAAAGTCAATTTTTTTGTAGTGAATTCAGCACTTCTGCTTTTGTTCTTTTAAGTAATGTTTGGATTAGTAGATTGTATTTGAATTTTAGATTTAATATCTCACATTTAAAATTTATGTATTTAAAATCATTTGTTTGTGTAATTTAAAAAATTTTAAGCAAAGAAGAGAGATAGTTGAGATTCAAAATAAAAATGGAAAATTGAAAGTCGTGAATTGTTTTTATTTTTTAATCAATGATAAACAAGAATGAGAGATGAAAACAGAACACAAAGAAAATGAGAGGTTTTTTTCTTTGGCCAAGGAACAACAAAAATACTTTTAAAGAACATCAGTCATCTGAGAACAAAATTAAACAAGCCATGAAGAGCAAGAAAAGAAAAACATTCAAGAAAAAAGGCTAAGAGGCGAGATAAAACATTAAAACCAAAAGTAAAATGCTAAATGCACCATGTTCCTGCTCTAGGAGAGGAACCAAAGGGGATGGAGGCTTGGTAGCTGAGTACAAAGAGCACATCCCTAAAACTATAGTTTGAAAAATCCATGTTATAGCCTGGTAGAATCTTCTTGGGATCTACTTAAAGCCATAAATGCTTAGTGATTGCCTAAGTTATAGAAAAAAGATCCATGATGGTTGAGTAAAGGCAAGAAGCTCCACTTAAAACAACATCAACTAGAGGGAAGGAAACATGCTTCATTAGAAAGATAACCACAATAAACCATAACAAACAAAAAGGCCTACTCCACCAAAATTATTACACCAAAACACCAGAGACAACAAACCAAGCATGTGGTGGAACCCATCTCTTATACTCAACAACTATTTGAGCAATCCTTTGAAAGTACATAGAGAGGAAGCTAGTCTAATCAAACTCCCAAAATGCAAAATCAATAGCAAACACAAATAGACACCCAACAACCAATAATATGCTTCTTGAATCACCCCCTGTTTCTACCAATATTCCCAAATCAAACTTAGGGGGTGAAACCAATCTAGAAACATCTAAATATGCCAAGTAATTATACCAAACAAGGGCAATCAAAACAAGAGTAAAAATCAGTACAAAAAGATAGTACCAAATCCAACTGAGAGGATCTTGAAAAACATTGTTCAATTCTGACCATTTTTAAACCTTCACCCTCTACATTGGACACCTCAACTATGAGATTTCAAACATAGCCTCCATTAAAAATTTTTGTAAGTCTGAATACATTGAGCACATCTTGTAATATCCACCTTAACATTATCAGGACAACACACTTACATGTTGTTGTAATAATTGGGGATTAAATAAAATCCTAAGTAAAAGTTATCACAACCCAAGGATTAAAAAGATAATTAGTTTAAAACAATGAGATCCAAAAAAAAACCCTTTTAAAATATTATTTGAGCTCAAACTATAGTTTAAAATCAATCCAATATATGATAACGAAAGCATGAAAATAATAAGCATTTGAAAATAAGATAATATAATCTAAAAATTTTCTAGAAAACTAGCCCATCCACTACAGTGCAAGCCACACCTGCCATGGTGGATGGCACAAAGGGACGAGACTCTCAGGGACCATTTGCACTGTGATGCATCTGTTATG